TCTACCCAGAGGTGGGATACCGTCCTTCCTTTTATTCCCGAGGTGCAGACAGAGGTCGTGGTTCACGTACCCGAGGCAGAGCATGCTTCTCCACAGGTAAGCAACAGCTTAACCCCACCTTCTCTTCCTCTTTGTACTGCAGGTCACATTTCACTGTTTCTCCAGGAATGGACGACCATCTCCACGGACACATGGATCCTACAGACGGTTCGTGGCTACGTCATAGACTTTCTTAGACCATCCACGACAAAGGGGACTACCACATCCCATCAACTGCTCAACGGAAGACACCAAGCTCATCAACAACGAGCTACAAGAACTATATTCGAAAGGCACAATCGAACCCTCCTCCGGTCCCCGGGGTTTCTTCAGCAACATTTTTTTGGTGAAGAAGAAAACGGGAGATTTCCGCCCCATCATAAACTTGAGACGACTCAATGAATACGTCATGTACAGGCACTTCAAGATGGAGGGCATACATCTTCTGAGAGACCTATTACAAGACAAAGATTGGTTCACAAGACTAGACTTGAAGGATGCATACCTATCGGTACCCGTCCACCAATCCTGCCGGCAATTCCTAAGGTTCCACTGGTAAGGCCTTCCCTGGCAATTCACGTACCTACCTTTCGGCCTCAGCTCGGCCCCATGGTGCTTCACCAAACTACTGCAGCCCGTGGTCGCTCATCTTCGAGCACAAGGTATTCGCTGCATTATGTACCTGGACAACCTCCTGCTGTTCTGCCCCGACAAGTCCACACTGGTACAACACACACGCTATGCCACGGATCTTCTGTCATGACTGGGCTTCGTAGTGAACTTTCAAAAATCGACCATCTCACTCGAATAGTGGGTTTACTCTCCGCTTCCATACAAGCGATCTTTCCAGGTCCACTCCATTACAGGGCGATGCAACGCCTCAAAGCTTCCTTCCTCAGGGAAAATCCATCATATGACCAGGCGGTCCTGATGACAGAGGAAGTCAGAGACAAACTCAGATGGTGGCTAGACAGCATGGAGGCATGGAACGGCCGAGCCATCTTTGGAAAAACACCTGACAGTCTTGGAATCAGACGCCAGCCTCTGGGGATGGGGCACGGCAAGCGAAGGTATATATTAAAGCAGATTAGATAGAGATTTTTTCTGCCATTACCAGTTTAAACTTTGATGTCCAATAATTATGGAACAGCGAAGTAGAAAAGCTCAAGGAGCAAACTCCATGGACCAGCATTAACACAGGGGCTGATGGAGCTGCAGCTCCAGGTCCATGCACATAGAAGAGGCCCACTGATTTGAAAAACAAAAATATACATATATATATATATTTTTTACAATTTTTTTTTTTGGTAAATTTCTTTTATTCAGAATTTTTCAATTTTATATGAAACTGTCAGTGTGGACACGCAGGTCCGGCAATGAATCTTTCCAATTACTTCTCAAACATGAAGTAGGTTCAAAGAGCAACGGTGGTGACGTGCAAGTCACCCAGTAGCATTAAGATGCAATTTCTAGTTGGAGTCGCAGGTCCTATAACATGTGTGTGGATGGGCCGTTCCCCCTAGCTTACGGTTGCTATAGCTATTCTGGGTCATCCATTGTGGCAGGGATGATTCGTGTCCTGTTTCAAGGCAATTAGCGTGTAATTTCTTACCGAGTGGGGGAATGTCAGGACGATGTTCATGCCTTGCAGGTTCAGACCTAAGGTCTTCGCTGTCAGTGGGGTTTTCTGCTGCTATTCTGGCTTGGGTAGTGGTAGTTTGTTCTATCGTGGCCATGTCTACTATCTAACTCCTATTGTTTTATGGGTGCAAGGTTGAACCTGTTTCTCCCTTTCTTATGTCTAACAGTGAACCCCTATCTTGTTTCCCGTTTTTAGGGGGTGCCCATACGCCTGGGGTCTCTACGTCCTTCCATCTTCTCTACCGTGTCGCCTCTCTGCCCGCGGGTTCCCCCGGGGGGGGGGGAGGTAGGGGGTGAAGGGGAGGAAGGGGAGGAAGGGGTGGTATATTTATTTTTGTTTTTATTTTTATTTTTTGTAGTGTTTCTTTTTGTTTGTGTATTTGTTCTCTGGTCTTGTTAGTCTTTTGTCTCATCAGATGACTTCAGTCAGGTCAGCAAGTCTTGGAAGTCTGTGCTAGTCGTGGTCAGGATCCAGTGGTCAGGAAGTCTGCGCTAGTCGTGGTCAGGATCCAGTGTGTCCAGATCGTCATATACGTCTGTGTCCTCCCCTCTGCCTTCCAGAGCTCTCAGCTCCTCCATTCGTTGATACCACGTCTCTAAAGGGGGTGCGCATTATTTTTTACAGTAGAGAGGGATTAGGCTTTTGGCCACGTTAAGTATAGTTAAGGATTTTTTGTAGGTCGATGCTTTTGTCGTGGTGTGATGGATGAGGAATGTTGCAGGGGTCATGGGTAGCGGGGTGTCTGTGAATTTTTTTATGATCGTGTGAATGGCCGACCAGTATGGTTTGATGATTGGGCATTCCCACCATATGTGGAGGTATGTTCCCGTGTGCGTGGTGCATCTCCAGCATGCGTCGTCCTTCGTGGGGTCATATAGGTGTGTATGGAGTGGGGTGCGGTACCAAAGGGCTAGGATTTTGTATGCTGTTTCTTGCGTTCCACTGGACGGTGCGTAGTGAAGTTAAAGGGTGCATATTTTGTCCCATTGGTTGGGTGTGAATGTGGTGCCTAGAACTGTTTCCCATTTCCCCATGAAGCTTGGGGGTGGTAGTCTCCTCATCCGCATGATCATTCCATAGAGCGCTGATAGGCCCTTCACCATGGGGTCTGGGTCCATGCATATCTCTTCGAACGCTGTTAGGGGTCTGAGGGCGTGATTGTTTTGAGTGGTCTCGTGTATAAACCCTTTCAGTTGTCAGTATCTGAATTGTAGCATGAATGAGTGATTGGAGTTTCCCGTCATGGCCTCTAGTGCTTTGATATGGCAGTTGTCTGTGGCGTGGCAGAGCCTCGGTATTTCGTGTCCCAGTAGCTGAACCAGCGTCCTCGGTTCCCTTCCTGGTGGGAAGACCTCATTATGGGCTAGGGGCAGCATTGGGGACGGTGTGGTGGTGAGTGAGAGTGGTGCTGCCAATGCTTGCCACACTTGCATGGTTGCCTTAATTAGAGGGTGGGGGGCTGCCAGCTGTCTGCCTTGTTGGGGGTCTAGCCAGGGGAGGACTGCTATCGGTCTCCCCACTAGTGTTGACTCCACATCTTTCCAGAGTTTCATTACCCCCTGTTTAGTCCACTCCACTATCCTTTGGATGTGTGTGGCCCTATGATATCTCTTAAAATCTGGCAGGGCTAGGCCTCCCTTGGCTTTCGGCAGTGTGAGCACGTCATGTTTTATCCTAGCCTTCTGCCTCTGCCAGGTGAACCTAAGGGCCAACGATCTGAGGGAGGTGAAAAATGCCTCCGGGATGGCCGCGGGGATGGCCTGGAACAAGTAAAGAACCCTCGGTAGGATGTTCATCTTGAGCACTCCCACTCTTCCAAACCACGTAAGGCGGACCTGGTCCCATTCCTGTAGATCCTTCTGTATGGTATTCAGGAGCGGTTGGAAGTTCGCCGCGTATAGTTGGGAAAGGTCTTTCGTTAGCACCGCGCCAAGGTATTTCAGGGAGGTGTCGGACCATTGAAACGGCAGTTCCCGTTTGAGGGCCGCCGCTCTGGGTCCCGGGATGGAGACATTGAGGATCGTGGATTTGGAGAAGTTGATTTTAAAGTTCGATAGCTCCCAGTATGTTTCGAATTCCTTCATTATCGCTGGCATGGATGTTTCCGGCTTAGTTACAAAGAACATTAGATCATCCACGTATGCTGCCACTGAGTGTTTCCCCCGTCCTGCCTTTAACCCCGGGATACCCGGATTGTTTCGGATCGAATTCAGGAATGGTTCCAGGGCCAGCACAAAGAGCAGGGGGGAGAGGGGGGCAGCCCTGCCTAGTCCCATTCCTTATCAAAAAGGGGTCAGTGAAGGCCCCATTTATGCAGATCCGTGCTGTTGGTTGCGAGTACAGTGCTCTGATCCAGGACATCATGAATGACCCCATCCCCAGCGTTTCAAGGACCTGGAACATAAAGTCCCATGCGATCCTGTCGAAGGCCTTCTCCGCATCTGTAGAGAGCAGGAGAAGGCCCTCCTGTCTGGTTGTTGCGGTGTGGATCAGGGATAGCGCTCTGATCGTGTTGTCTCGCGCTTCCCGATGGGGAGTAAATCCCACCTGGTCCCCATGTACCAGGTTCAGGAGGTGGGCCTGTAGTCTCTGTGCAAGTATCTTGGTGAACAGCTTCAGGTCGCAGTTCAGCAGTGATATGGGGCTTTTGCGTACGTCTCATGGGCGGGTCTAAAGTCACGGGATCGTCCCCTGTCCCCATGGGCCCCGCGGGCAAGAGCGACCTTCAACAATAAATAACAAATGCAACAGTAATAATCAACAATAAACCTTGTGGGTTATCCAAAAAAGACTAGGGTGTGGGCTAGGTAGGAGTCGACCGCGCCGCACCTGTCGGCACCGTCGAGTCCCCCTGCCGTTATCTGTGTGCCCCTGTCTACTAGGAGCGTGGCCCTTTTTCCCTTTCACCCCAAAGGGCCAAGTGTGGTAGATCCTTCTCCTATCTGGGTCTCCTGTGTCCCCTGCCCCCCCCCACTCTGAAGCTACCTAGCCAGTACAGGTGGTGCTGGCAGTCTCTGGGCCCAGCCCCCGGTTTTCTTCCTATCTCCTAAGTGTGTGTTCGGGTGCATGATCTTTGAGTCGGCCCTACCCTGCCTGTCTCTCCCCCGTTTCTCTAACCCTCTGTTGCGGAGTGATGTGTTACCGTGAGTGGGCTCGTAGGCTGGTGGGTTTGAGTCATGTATCTAGATGGCCTCACACTTCCCACTCTGTGTCCCCCCCCCCCCATCCTGATGCTCGGGGATTCCGGTTGGAGTTGTCCTGCTTGGTGAGGGGCCATGGTTGGGGGCCTGTCCTCTCGCTCTAACCTGGGCTACCCAGGCTATCTCTCAATGCGATATCCCAAAGTGGTCGGGCATAGGTCCGGGTACAATTTGACGTGTTGGCCTTCGTGGGTGATTTCTCCCCTGTTGCGGGCTTCATGCAGGATTTCTTCTTTTAGGGCGTATAGTTCTAGGCAGCAGATCACGTCCCTAGGCGGTGCCTCTGGTGGGCCCCTGAGTCTCAGTGCCCTGTGGGCTCTGACGAACTCTATGGGGGTCTCCCTGGGGCGGCTCAGGAGATCATTGAGTGTGTCTTTAAGCTGGGCGGGTGTGTCTTCACCTTCTTGTAGGCCTCTTATTCGTAGGTTCTGTCTGCGGCCCCTATTGTCCAGATCTTCTATGTGTCTGGCCATTGCTTGCATTTGGGCAGTTTGCTTGGAGTGGCTTGCGACTTGGGCTGCTTGCGCTGCGGTAAGGGAGTCGTGATCCGCCTCTATTTGGGCCATGCAGTCCGCCATACCTTGGATGTCGGCCCTCATCAGCTGAAGGTCCGCCCTGATGGAAGTCTGGAGGGCTGAGGTAGCCTGGGTGAGGTCAGCCCGTGTGGATAATGCCCTTAGCAGGGCCAACCAGTCTGCCGGTGGGGTCTCCCTTGAATCATCCCGGCCTGGTGAGAGGGAGTGTGGCGTGGAGGCTTCCGATGGCGGGTAGGCCTCAGATGACGCCTGGGAGGTCGGGTCCGGTGCCGCGGCCAGGAACTGCCGCATGGAGGAGTTGTGGCTCACTTGGCGGGTCCCCGGTGGTCTGGGGGTGCTCCCCGCCTTAGTGTGCTTCCCCATCCCTGTATCTGTGGCCGGAGTGACGTGCGTGGCAGAGTGGGGCGAGAGGAGCTCAGTCTATATGTGGCCATTTCGTTCCGCCGCTAGGCCACGCCGTCTTTTTACTATTTTTAACATGCTCTTGCTTAAGTATGGAAACGAGGGATGTAGGGGAACACAACTTGTGTGGACTGGCTGACAATGAAATTATTTAAGGTAAAGCTGACTTTGCACACTATGAAAATGCTATTACTGCTTTAGCCTCTCTAATACCACTGTTAGAGAGACTAAACACCACTCTCACCATGTTTCTTCTACACTCACTACATGCACCTTTTCTCTGTCCCCAACTGTATAACAGGAGCTTTTTACCTAGTAAGAAGGTTAGGAGAGGAGTGGACCAGAGAGTGTTAGAGGACAGTCCTTATAAAGTGTAGAGCTAGTGCATCATTATACGCATTTATGTTAAGCTCACAGTGTTGTCTGCACAGTATGCCCTTGGTTGGTCATCCTGCATGATTGGAATTTAATTCTTCGTGCAGACATGACCACTTTTTGGGCATGTTTGTCCTTTGGGCGGATCTGGTTATGTAATTACCATGAGTGGCCCACCCTTTGACCATGCCACTGATTACTTGCATCACCGGACATTGTTGTTAAGGGGAATGGATTTAGTTGAAAGCAAGAGATTAACATAAGGTATGTGTTTTCTGATAGCTATGTCTTATGAGTTTCCTTCCAGCACCACCTCCACCAGATACATGACTCTTGGGAGGTATAACTGTTTTAGTGTTTTCTGTTGATAAGATTCTGGAATTAGGCTCATCATAATTGTCAGCACCAGGCCCAATGGGCTCTTATTCCAGCCCTGCATCAGGGGAAGTGACACCCGGGGATAGCACCAGTGGATGAAATCCAGAAAATATATAAAAATATATATATAACCTCCCTCATTCGGTCTCACTTTAGTCGTGCAACTGAGTGCTGGGAGAGCTTTCCCTATCTGGCTTTTAGTAAATATGAGACTTGCCATTGCAGTCGAAATTCAGCAATTTTCACCAGATGTTGTCTATCCAGACAAAATCTGTTGTTTAGTGAGTTACCCTGTTTTAATCCAAATATGAAAGTGCAAAAACAGATTCATTGTTTTTGCAACACTGGGACAAAATTATTTGGTTTCACATTTATTTTACTTGATGGCTGTTTTTGCACATAAAGCACTATAGTTTTGCCTCCCAAAAGCAAGTGATGAGCTCTCAAGCAGGGTATTTACAATTGTTGTTTTTTTTTACTATACTAGGGATTGGTATGAATTGATGAGAATTTATCTGGGCAATCTCACATTTTAAGTTCTAATTGCTCTGGTTAGACCAACATACTTCCTGGTTTAGCCCCTTGAAATGTAAATTAACTTTTATTCCAATGTGTTTGTCCTTAAAGGTAACAAGCACTGCCCACAGAATTCAGTAAAACCATTCAATACTTTTTTCCACATGAATGAGAAGCCATTTACAGCTCTATAATGTGTCAGATTCCCTTACTTTATAGAATAATAAAAAATAAAAAAATTAAATAGGAAAACATGATATTATACATCGCCATCAAACATTGTGATTGTTTATGTTTTGTTAATCTGTGTGTGTATTTCAAGTTTTATTTTGACGGGTCAGTTAATGTGTTCATGTTTATGTATATGCATATGTTTTTTAATTTTTAAATCTGGAAATGTGTTTTTATGATGCTTAATGAAGTGAATGAATTTGTGATAGGTGATTTGGTTAATTATTGAGAATATGAAGCCAGCTGTTGTATTGTCGAATCACCGGTCGCAATTCATGTCAAGGTGAACTCAGCCTTTCATCCTTCCTGTTATTAAAATAGAAGGTATGCCAAGAGGCAATACGAGGAGCTGAAGCCTTGATGCGGTATTAATGCTTACATGGTAACCCCATGTATCAAGTCAACCAGTGTGACTGTGAACCTACCATAATCAATGGGCTCTGTGTGCTCTGTAGAGAATACAAATCTGAAAGCTGTGCTAAACAAAATATCAATTTTAGTGAGTGATTTTTATTGCTGTGCGAGAATATGTAGTTTATGTGTGTTCATGTGGACTTGTTCAATGGAATGTCTGTGTAAGCAAAATATAGCTTAGTATATGTTTGGAATGTTTGTGTGTGTATTGCTTATGTGAGGAATTGTGTTAGAATTCTGATGGCATTTGTTGCTGCTAGACTTGTCCTGTACTTAACATAGTAGTCAACTGATGCCCCCAGTGACCCCTCCTTTATATTGTGTTCCATTCGTAGTCTGAAAGACAACACAGGTTTTTGGGATGTGCCATTATTAGTAATTGCAGGATCATGGCTAGCTTGCTGGTGGGAAGCCCTTGAATGCATTGAACAAAATGTAAAGTGTAATTCTGCATGAACGCAAACTGTTTCTTCCCAGAATTTTTTATATATTCGTTATATATTCCTGTATCTGACATATATATAAATGCGGTGTGAAAAATACCATGAACTCCACAAGTTTTTATCTTATCGAACAACTGTGCGCCTCCATCTTAGCTTCCTGTTAATCTTTGTAATAAACTGTGTTCTTTGTACCTGGGTGTCAACACAGAGAAACCATACAAAGAAGATGAGAAGGGAAACAGTGCGGGTTATGTATAAAAAGTATAGCATTCATATGCCTCCCAACCATCTTGAATTCAGTGGGATAGTGCCAATTTGCGGGTCCTGTACCACCCTCCCACCTTAATGTCCTGCTTTTGGGGACACCAGGGAACTGTCCCCCACGATAGCATGTATAGACGCGTTCATGCTTTGATAAGGACGTTAGGACACGGCAGGGAGAGCACTGCTCCCTACAGAGGCTGCCCTCAGTGGGACAACATGCATTATGGACAAGCAGCATGGCGTGCGTTCACACTAGACCCTTCCCCATTCTGGGTGGGTGTTACAGTTTACCAGGAGTTGGAGCCCAGTTGCAGGAGATGGCACAAGGAGAAGGCAAAATCCAAAAGACACAGTACAGATAAAGGGGTAATCCAAAGGCAGGGTCAGAAGAGAAGCAGAAGTCAGGGCAGGCAGCAGAGTATCATAATCAGTAAGGCAGGCAGAGGTCAGAGTCCAGGAAATCAGTCAGCAGAGTAACAAAGTTCTGTCAGGAAACACCAAACAAACAAAATGACCAGATACTAGGTCTCATGCAGAGCTGGCTTTTACAGCCTGCTGATTAGGGGCAGCTGACTCTAATTGGTAAGGGGCTGCAGGTGGTTCAGCACTGCTCCATCCAGGTAAGGAGTCAGGAAGCAGAATAATGTAGACAGATACTGAGTCCCCCTAGTGGACAGCAAGGTAGAAACCTAACTGGGTTGCTGGAGCTGTGAGTTAAAATCCAGCTAGGTCTCTTAAAGGGGTGGCAAAGCATTGCTGTCTACAGGCTTGGGCTGCTCCCTCAAGCTGTGTCCCAATTAGCAGGACACCAGAGTTAGGAGGTATGCATTCACTTATGGCTTTGCTCCCATTTTGTGTAAATATGCTGTTTTCTTATGTATAAACCTGTTACTCCACTCTTATACTTTGGATGTTTTTTTCTGTTCTTTTAAAAAAAAAAAAAAAATTGTAACGCACCAAAATAATCTTTCATTCAGCCAATTTTTACACCCCTTTTTGGATTTTTTTTGCTCCTTTTTTATCCTGTTGATTTTTGTCATTGATGACATTCACAAAATAAGACAAATTAGTAATATTAACTGGAAAAATAAAGATTTGAAGGATTTTTGTTTAGTTGCAATACTTTTTATAAATCACGTTAATTGTTTTTATGTTTCGTCTTCATTTGCAATGTTTACACTGGCTGTGCCCAGACTGAATTATATTGTGATGGGATTTGCGGAACAAAATGGAACATCTCATGAAAATGCATAGCACAAGTTGTAGGTGATTTTTCAGTGTCTTATTTAATGGTGTAAATACATCGGAACATAGTTGTTTTGTATACCCATTTAGGAACACATTTTATATTATATGTCTTATATTTATATTATATATATTACATTGTATGGGTTTGATGTGTCTCTCGTGCAGGGGAAATTGCTGGCATGTCAGATCTGGACTGCCTGTACGGGTGGGACCAGTCTGATATGCTTCAGATATGTTCTCTCTGTAATGGCACAAGATGAGCTAAAACCAGCTTGAGATCTGAGCGGGGACCTACCGAAGGGCAGGCTAATTGAGCTGTTGTCCGTTCTCACCTCTCTTGCTACTTGTTTTTCTATATATATTACATATTTTATATTATATATTTGTTTGAGATACATACAATGGACACTTATTTTGCTGTATTATGATATAACAAAATATAGCGTGGTGGCATACTAACTTTGAATAATGAAGGATGTCTTTTTTTTCTGTTCTCCCAGTATTGGACTGCATATAGCTTGGTTTCATTGAATGTCACAGAAAAAACTACAAAGCAGAAGCTTCTCAGTAAAATTCCATAGAAAGATAGGAAGAACCAGTATTTAGTTTTTATTTGCTCTCCGAAAACGGCATTTCCTTTCACAAAAGCTATCTAAAAAGAAAGGATTATATATCCCTTCATATATATTCATATATATAATGAATATGTGGCTGCTTTAGTAGCTGCATATTAGTCAATATTCCAACAGGATTGATGTTTCGGTCCTCATTCAGTTATTAAGAAAAGGTACAGAACGGTGACTTTTATTTCAGAACCCTCTGATAACGTTACAGCGCCAATAAGGTCAGTTAGTAAGCCTAACAGTAATAAGTATCACTACGGTTTAAAGAACATAAAACAGGAATAAAGTCCCGCAACCCAATGTCACCACATGACAAGCCTGTCTATTTTTTCTTCTCTGTTTAATCTGAAACTGAGATTTTAGAACTTCCATATTTCAATCTAATTGTTTTAATTCG